TATCATGTTCGGTCTATGTTGGCCACTTGAATGCAAGTAATATGTAAATGTTAATAACACATTTATAGTTTTTCTTAAAACGAATATTCTACAATATTTTAAAAACATGCTGCAAATTTTGAAGGAAAAAAAAACGAACAAAAATGTTTGAGCCTTTTGGCCTGCATCACTAGCTGCATGTAATCCCTGCAATGCACTGCCTCTCCGGCTGCGCGTTCCCCACTAATCCCCTCAAGCTCGTTTTCTTTTCGCGGGTCGTCGCGCGGGGCGCTACTATGTCGTCTCACCGCCCGCAACGCGCCTCGTGTTGTGGAGTGTACGTTCGCACGTATTTCCGTTCTCCATTTGCCGTTCCTCACCGCCGCCGCTGCCGCAGCGAGGGGCAGGGCGGGGGCGGGGCGGGGGCAGGGCCCAGGGGGGCAGTTGCCAGCTCCCCGGGTGAACGGGGGCGGGCCGGGCGCGGCGCGCGCGATCCTAAGGGTTCGCGCGGGCTGCTGCTTATCCATTCATTGGATACCAGCCGCGAGGGGAGAGAGAAAAAATGTTACACATCGCCGACCCAACGTCATGATGGCGTGGCGTGTGGGCGTGTGTGTGTGCGTGTGAGCGTGTAGGGCATAAGGAGGGCATATACATCCTCTCCATATTACCCCTCTCTGTTCACGTCGGCCAGCCGCTCCCGCCCGCTCACACCCGGGGCACACAAGACGAGGCTCGTCCGTCCGAGAGTCCGCGGACACGGTACATCACCATCGCTCACCTATAGCTGGTGGCTGCTCAAAAGGAGCGGCAGCGATGTGAACTGCTTCTGATATCGTTTTTATTTAACAAACCAAAATTTTTACGACGTGCGTGGTTTGTGGGGCATATGCTAGAAATTGAACGCGCATCGTTCATTCTAGACAGATGACAAAAAAAGAAAAGAAAAAGAAAAGAGTGAACGACTCTGGCGCGACCTCCAAACGCTCGCCTCTGGCCTTCCGCCCCGGATTTCGATAGGAAAGGAAAAGGGTGTGTAGCCAGCCGAGCGGCTCCGTGGGGCCGGCGCCGGCATAGCAGCCCGGCCCAGGACCAGCCCAGCCCAGGGCAGCTGGGGATGTTTTTTTTCTTCCCCTCCCTCTCTGGAATTGATGTTTCTGGTGGCCATCCAATCGAAATGGTCAATTCTGGAGCGGGGGTCTCTCGGCGAGCTGTGCTGCCGCTGCTGCTGGTCGTATCGGAAGGGGGAGTGAATTGGTGCGCGGGAAGGGTTGGAGAGGCGGGGCGGGGCGGGGCGGCAGGGTGATACTGTCAGAAATTGAGAAAGCAAGGGAACCGAGGCAGGCAGGGACCCTAGCAGCAGCGATGCGGGGTCGGCCGGCCGGCCGGCCGGTGGGGTGGGGTTAGGAGGCCGGCCGCGTTGGGACGCGAATCACGCACAGCTTCGGGACGTAATGCCGCGATCTGGCGAACGTGCAGCCGACCAGCTGGGCGCCCACCTCTGGTGCCCGCCGCGCCCCATCCCCGCAACTGTCGTCGTGTACGGCGGAGCGGAGAGGACGTACGACGTCGCCGAGGCCGAGCAGCTAGCCCCCATGAGCTAGCAGAGCAGCAGCAGAGGGTTCCGCTTCGGCGACTCGCCAACCGGAAGGCGAGACTCGCAGTTCCGGGCCGAACCAGCAGCATGCGGGGGCCGGAAGCGGAGCGACGGCCCCGGAAGTGGCGCTGCTGTCCGCCTTGGCCCGCCCCGCCCCCGCCCCGCCCCCGTCCGCGGCATGTGTTCGCATTGTATCATTAATGTTATTGCTGGGGCTCTGGGCCGCGCGGGGGCGGACCACCTCAGCACTTTGTTGTCATTAGTAATATATATCTGCGTACGATAAACAAGTATATCCGTGTCGTTACTTCCGGCCGCTGGCTCGGCTGGGGCGTGCTTTAGGGGAGGGTTTGGGCGCCGCCGCAGCCTGTTGCAAAACGGGCCGCCCCCGCCGCGCCCCGCCGCGCCCCGCCGCGCCCCGCAGACTGCTACTTATTCCGGATGGGTGGCCGGGGCCGGGGCGCCGACTGACTGAGCGCCCCGCGAACGAGCCCGCGACGACACTCTTTCTTTGCCATTCTTTCCCTCCTGCAGCCCGTCGGTGGCAACACGCCGCGCGGCCGCCGCGAAGATGTTGTTCTCGCGAACGGCAAATACTTATTCGCCATAGTCGCTCGGTCAGCTTGGCGCGCGGCCGCTGATGTTGATGTTCGCCCGCGCGCCCCGCGGCGACTAAGAGGAAGAGGATTACGTGGTGGCGCGATCTGTCGGGATAGAAAAAGAAGGCGAAAAGAAAGCGAAAGCGAAGAAAAAGGGGTTGCAGGGGATGACTCTCGACGCGTTGACCGCGTCGCCGGGCTCTATACACCGCGGGCGCAGATGGTGCGCTCGCGGGAGGATGCGCACGGCTCTCGTGGGCCCGCGTCGTCGTCGGGATCCCCAGAGTCCCAGAGGACGGCCAGCCGGCTACCGCCCGCCGCGCCGCGCCCCCGCGGCTGTCCGAAGAGGAGGAGGAAGGGTGCTGGCCGCGAAGCGCGCGTTTTCTATCTCTGTCTTTCTCGCTCCTTCTCACATTCTCACAACCCTTCTCTGTCGCTCCCGCCCTTGACTCATCCGTCGCGGATTTAGAGGTTGAATCGCGAATGACAAGGGGTTGCGCGGGCCCGCGGCAAAGGGGTCGCGCGGGCTTCGCAAAACAGAAGGGCTATGCATGAGCAGGGGCCAGCAGCCGAGCGGCTGGCTTATTCTGCGAGGGGGAGCAGCCAGTCCCTCTATCTTTTTCCGCCACAAAAAAAAAGATAATAACGACCACCGTCAATAACCCCCAAAAAAAAACCCCCCCCAACAACAACAAACCAAGGATCCCCGCGGCTGCCGCTGCTGCATCTGAGGCGGAAGCCTTGGGCGCGCATGTCGCTAGCCGAGGAGGGCGCGTCGCGTCCCACCCGGACCATCGCGGGGCGGCGGCGGTGGCGGGGCGCGGACCCGCGGAAAGCGATATCCACGAAACAGTCCTGACTCGCGGAAAAATTCTGGGCAAGGCAAAAAGGGATGTGTTCCGCGTGCTGTGA